CAAGATGAAACGCATTCTTTTGTATAATTTTTTTTTAACTCGTCGCTTAAAACTGAATATAATGCAAGATTGACGATTAATAATTATTGATACGTAAAGATAAATTAAAATAATATAAAAAAATATGTAACAGATAATATTTTAATATTTTAGGTCGAATAGTAATTGTATATAATTTGTTGTTGTTGATTAAAAAAAATTAGTGTGATAAAATGATAATAATAATTAATATAAATATGCTTCATCCCCTTAAACTGAATTATATTAAATAAGAACTGGCATTACGATAAGGACACTGTTTCGGTTTTTATTATTACTTACACCTACTCATGTTCTAGATCCAAACCCTAGCAAACTTAAAATAACAACTGGCGTAGCTGTTTGGTTCAGGTTTTATGTAACCATACACGTGATTTACGATCCTAAGTTGGAATTAACTACAAACAAATTGATTTTGCGTTAATAAAATTTAATTCATTAGTCATACTTTTGAGTTTTTGGGTACACGAGCCTCCATTTTATAATCAAGGTGCATGGCTATTTGTCCTATAATTATATGTCGTGGTTAGGTTAAGATGCACCTCGAAGCTTTCATGATAAAGAAATTGTTTAAGTACATGCATTGGTTTTCAAAAGATGCACTTGACATTAAGTTTTGAGCCTCCAAAACTTTGGGATATTAATTAACTTTTTAAAATGAGAAGCATTTTCTTGTTCATCAATATGTTTAAGAACATTATTTAATTTGTAAAATATTGCTATTTCATATTATAAAAGACCAAGTTAATACCTAGTTTTCCAAAGATCGACTTAAGTTGTTGTGTGGGTTTTAAATGATTAAAAAGCTAGCTTAGGGGTTTATTAAAGGATAAAAAAATCAATTAGAGGTAATAGGGGATGTACTATATTTTGTAATCGTATAATGCTGCTGGTTTAGCTTTCTTTTTAGTTTGATCGTGTTATTCATCACGTGAAACTTTTAAAATGAAGGATACTCTTTTCTTTTTCTTTTTTTTTTCTGCTCCTTCAATTTTTCTAAAAATGTATTTTTTTTATCAAAATAAATATATTCAATTTTTTTATATTTATCGGCATGGTTTTAATTTTTTATAGAAAATATTTTTTTTGTTGTTAAAATGTACACACTAAAATATATTATTTTTTTCATATAAATAAAAATCAATTTTTAAATTTTTGAGGAAATAAACACAAATTTGATTCTAAAATAAATATTACTAAATATAAAATTCCTCATTCTTAATTTGGATGATATAAAAAATTATAAATGATTTCTGATATCAGTAATTTGTTATTTTAGAAAGAAAAAGAATAACTTATATTTGTTATAAAAAAACAAATTATTTTCGATAATTTTGACAGAGATAAATAAAATGATAAAAAAATTATTAAAAAAATATTAAAATTTTATTATAAATGATAAAAAATACTTTTTTTATTTAATGTATTATCGTAGAACTGGGCATACATTACAGGAATAAAATAATGTCGTACATATATTACTATGTGACTGGGCACACATTACAGGAATAAAATAACGAAGGGTAATCCTGTTCTTTTCTCTCTTTCTCTACCCTCATTATTCATCTCTGCCTCCCTCACCTAACCGCTGCCATTTAACCCTACATTCATAAAACCTCACTTCCATAATCTCAAATATGCTTAGCCTTCATTTTAGTTCATCAAATGTAATTATATATTAACAACTAATTATGTGGTCTTCCGCATCTTTACGTTTCTCATACATTTTGTTTTAGTTTTTTCTTTAAATTATTAATATTATTAATCAAAAACATTCTCCCATAAAATTAAATTTCAAATTCTTAATATGATAATTAGTTAACATGTTATCATCATCCATTTTGATTAGCAATCTTCAAAGCACATATATCATTCCTACAAGCTCAGGTTCAAAGGCATTCACAAACCAATGAGAACTAAAAAAGCAACATCTAATTTCAACCATAGAATGTTATATAGGAAGTAAACAATTTGACTTAACTAACTCTTTAAAAATAAGCGTTAGGTGGTGGACATTAGTATAAATTATATATTTTTTTATTTTAATAAAAATAATCATGACAACACCAAATTATAATTTTACATTTTTTATCCTACGACTTTAATGACAGGACAAGTCTATTTTTCTCCCTGTTCGTGTTGTTTATTTTCACAAAATCATCTTTGTATGAACTACCATTTTAAAATTCATATCGTATGTTTTTTTTTTAATTTAATTTGATTTTTTTATTTCTAAAATATTTCATTTGTAGAGTCATAAATTTGTCAAATAAAGCAAAATGACTTGTAAGTGAAGACGAGTGTTCGAAGTTAAAGTAGGAAAAATCTTCAAGTTCACAGAATGTACTTTAAAGTTTTATTTGACTTTCTTTTTGTGTTGTTTTTCACCACTAAACATTTATTGGTTTAAAATTTTTAAATTTGTTTAAAAAATATCTGACCCATTTTCATTTTTCAACTCTCTTAATTTTTCTTTATTTTTGACTTGTTACCCTCATATTTCATTTTTTTTTCCATGACAGTGCAATTTTTCCAAGTACCTTCACCCAAAATTTGAAGTTAATTCATGAGTCCCCCACTAGCCACTACCTAGTTTTTAAAAGTGAAGCTACACAACCACTTTTTCTTTTTCTTTTTCCACAATAATGCAATTGACTAAAAATTCGTTAGGGCATGTACACAACACAAGTTTTACTTGCTGGTTTGAGAGTAAGTGTGGGAAAGAAATTTAGATAAGTAATAAAGACACAAAACTTACACTTTGAGTTCTTTACATATGAGTTTTTAAACTATTCTCTTTTGAATTTTTTTTTCATCCATATAAAAGTTTATTTTTTAGTGTTTATTAAATGTTTAAATTTTAATTTTAATCCCTCTAAAATATTTTTCTTTAACTTCAATCATTCTAAAATTTCAAAGTAAATTTTTTAATCTCTAATATTCATTTTAGGATAGATGAATATTTATGCTCTTGCAAGCTTAAAAATATATGTGTTGCCAAAAATTTAAATTGGTATAAATATCTAAAAAGTAATCTTGTAATAATATTTATAAAAATATTTGGATAAAAAGTCAACGTTATTGTGGTCGTTTTATGATTAAACTGAAATTGGACCACTGAAAGGAAATTAAAATAAATGGACTCCCCACTCCCACCCAACTGACAACATAATGTTCTCGTATTTGTTCCCTCTAACTTTCATTTTTCTTTTTTTATTATTATATTAGATAATATATGACGATTTCAAATCATTGTGCCGTGAATTTATTCTCAACACAAAGTTCGTGGAACTGTATGTTTATTTATTTTAAAATATTTACAGATCTCACTAATATTTATAAAATAATAAATACAATTTTATAATAATTAGTTTTTATTCTTAAAAATTAAACGTGTGCAAAGAGTTATATAGTAACTTACGTGTTTTGTTTTCCGAACTGAGCTAATTTAGTTATTTTTTCAACTTTTGATTAAAATTATAAAACCTGATCACCTTTACATGATTGAGTAGCGTTTAGGCCATTCAAAGAGATAAATATAGAAAAATATTCATTTAATAAGTTAAAAGTAAATCATTAAAAAATATAATTTAAAATATGTAAACAATAAATTTATGGGTTATTTTAGTTACATGTTACTCAATTTATTTCGAGATGTGAATTCACACTTTAATTCTAATAAAAGATAGATATAATAAAAAATTATAGTTGTATATATATAAAGTATGAAATTAAAAAAAAAAAAAACTATCCTAAAACATCATCTTTGTTTTGATAAAAATACAATGAAAATTATTAAAAATAGGATAAATACTTTTACTTTACTTTATTTTCAATGTGATGTTGGTACAAAATATTTACGAATTTTACTAATGATTTATATATTTATAAAACTATATTTATATTTAATTATGATAAACAGAAAATAGAGAAAACATAAAAAATAAATCAGTGAAAAAAAAACTATGAAATATATATTATTTTAAATATAATATAATCAAAAAATAATTTGTTATTATAATATCATTTAATTTTCTATTTTAGTATTATTTTAAAAGTAAATTTAAAAATATTTAAAAATGTTTAGATTTAGTTACAATTTCAGTATAATTTATATATTTTTTATTATTTTACTTAATATAAACTGATTTTAAGTTAAAATTGGATATAATATTCAATTTTTTTATTTTTATTTATTATAATAAATATTTTTAAATTAAGATATAAATATAATGTTGTTTTAAAAGATTTCAAATGTAAAAGATAAAGATATATGTTTTATTTCTTCTTCATATAAATTTTGAGAGATAATTTTATTTTATATTTTAAAAAATAAGCTGTCAATTAAAAAAGTACTCAATACTTACGTAAACAATAAAAGAAATAGTTTAAGATGGAAAAATATTATCCACACACTTAAATATCATATGAAAGAAAGAATAGTAAAATAGTAGTTGTCCCTTATAATTTCTTCACAACTTGTCACTATCTTTGGGCCTTTTGATACCATGCAAAGGCAAAGCACCACGCTTTCCCCATTGCCATTCATCACCGTCGGTGCCCGCGCTCGCACGAATCCCTATCCTCATCCAATCCAACGGCCACAAAATAAACCATCACTAACCCATAAAAGAGGCTACACGACACTTGAAACAAATCCATCTCCAACAATATCCTTTATTTATTTTCTTCCTCCAATTTATTATTGTTCCTCTTTTCTCCGTTTTGAAATCTTCTAGGCATCTAGTCCAACAATAACAAACTGACTTTACAATGTTCCCCAAATTAAAATATTCCTTGAATCCCCAACTTTCCATTTTTCCCATATTTTGACCATCACTCACTCTTTTCCTTCCCCTATATAATGTTTCCACCCCCACATCTCTCTCTTCATCCTTAACCCATTTCCCTTCCCCTCCTTCTTACTTTCCAATACGATTTTAAGATAGTTTCATCTCCCAATGGAGGAAACATGGGTGCCAAAGAGGGCAAGAGAAGAAGCCCAAGTGGAGGAAAAAGACTTGGACTTTGAACAAGACTACTCCTCAAAGAGGCACAAACCCTACACCCACATCCTTTCTCTGCTTGACTCAGAGGAAGAGGACTCCACACAAGACCTCTCACCTCTCATCACAACCCTCCAACAAGAAATCACTTCAGCCTCCAACAACGATAATTCCCAAGATGCCCTTTTGGTGTGCCCAAGTCAAGAAAATGACCAAGACACCCTCCCATCAATCAATGGCTTAGAGAATGGAACAACAACAACATCACAACAAGTGGTGAAGGAAGAGGAGGAGAGTGACAAGGAGAGGGTCATGAGACACCTACTCCAAGCCTCGGATGACGAGCTTGGGATTCCAAATACTGGGGATGGGATATTTGGGTTTGTTGGAGAACATGAGCTCAATAGTGAACATGGGTTTTCATCCTTGTGTGACAAGTTGTGGGAGCTTGAAGATGAGAGAGCTAATTACTATGCTTTCTTGCAATCTGAACTCTTCCTAGGGGGACATTAGGAAAGTGAAAATTATTATCTAGGCCAAAAACTATGAAAGAGAAAAAACCTTAAAACATGGTACGATCAAAGGTGAAGGATTTTTTTTTTTCTTTTTTTATTTAGTTCAATTTTTAATCTCTCTTTTGTAAAGATCACGGGACATCTATGGTGTCATTGCTTATTTTCTACAGTTAGGCAGTGCCACTTTTAAAGGTCAATCTGTACTTCAGCCCTAGAAAAATTAATTAGATACTCACATTTAAAAAAAAAAACAGAAACGGGTCAACTTTTTCATTTTACCAAGATTCGATGAGTTCGAAATACGGGTCAACTTTTTTTCTTGCTCCGTCACGGAAACGGGTTAGACCACATACAAATAATGTTAGGACTGTAAATAATGTTTTTTACCCCGAATTTTTTTTAATTTATAAATAAACGAAATGTGTAGCATATTTTATTATTATTATTTTTTTTCCTTTATGAACAGTTTTAGTTCGTCAAGCATTAATGAATAATATTACAAACAGTTTGGTTTAAGGTTTAGATCAATGATCTAACAATTGTAGTATTTCAAGTAATTAATGATAGTGTTGTCTAATTGATATATAACTATAATTTAAAAATTATAATTGAGGGTTTAGTTCTTAAATTTATATACATATAAGATGATTTATTTAATAAATCTAATCCTTTAAATAGATATATCTATCTCACATATACACACAAAATCTTTAAATCACGAATAAGAGATAGGGAAATGAAAATAGAAAACAAAAATTGGTAAAGTAAAAATATGTGATAGAAAGGTTTTTTGAATCATGTAATTTAATTTATTTAAAAAATATAAAAGAATGAAGAAATGAATACAAATATATAAAATATAGTAATGTGAATTTTTTAAAACTATTTATTCTCTGTTCTCCCTCACCGTCTATACCATTCGTTACATTTTTAATATCAATCATTACCTCTGAAAACTGTTGTTATTTTACAAGTTCCATAGAATAATTTTAGTGAAGTGAGATGTGTATCTATTTTATTTGGAGCTATATTTTATAAGTTAAAGTTATTTAAATAATTAATAAATACATCATTATATCGAAGGAAAACAAAAAATCGGAGCTGTGTGTTTCACATATACGTTGTTTCATAGTGGACCACTTCCACTGGGATCACACATTTCATAAAATTTGTTTGTTTACATTTCGTTATGATTTTTGTATAAAGTTATTTGACGAAATTAAGGAGTAATGTAACTAAATCACTACTATAATGATGTCTTCGCAAAATAGTAAACAAGTAAATAACGACATCTATTTTACATTATATTACTGTAATTGTAACATAGATTGAAATTCTGATTCACTAACGAAACCTCAAAATATAGTAACATAATTTATTTATATATTATACATGTAAAAGTAGTTCCTCGAAACTATCTCATCTGAACTATCCCTGTCGTCCAAGTAGTCACATCTTCTTCTCTCAACTCCTGATCTGCTCCCATATAAAAGTGATAATCGCAGTCCCATCCACATGGAAAAATAGGGGTAAGTATTAAATCATTCGATATAATAAAACAGATATAGAAGTAATAATTATATATTATGATCAATTACGAAATTATCAACACACTAAGACACCTTCCGGAAGTATACCCTAACTATGTCCGAACTCAGAGGCTATCATCTGTGGGCACAATGTGATCAGTACCCGCAGTATCATTCTGATCACCCTCCACACAGAGTAGGATTACTGGCACCCTTCATCACTCATACTGGAGTACCCCTCTGAGCGAGCCACCAATCATCCCCCATCGACTTCTCACCACCTGATCTCGTAGTCTACCTGACCCACCAATCAATGAAGTCTGGGACCTCATTCAGAATCCTCCGACATAGTTATTACACTAATGTACTCTGTATCACCCCGGGTACCATTCAAACATAACAAAAATTATTCACATTTGCCAGATTCTGGACCACCTGTCCTCACGGCTCATTTGAGTCAATAAAAATAGGATTTGACTGATTCTGGCACCAACCCTCCGGCTCAGTCTAGCCAATATATAACGTCTTAGGACTGATTATGGGCATCAGCCCTCAGGCTCAGTCTGACTCACACACGTCACAACACACTACTTCCATTCTCTCTCTCTCTCTCTCTCTCTCTCTCTCTTTATATATATTTTTTCCTAAAATAATTTCCGAAATCATTTCCGAAATCATTTCCGAAACTATTTTCGAAATCATTTTTGAAATCATTATATTACTATTTTGCCCTTAATCTTTTCTTAAAATTCCATGTATGTCCCTAAATGACTATTTAACCCTTGGTCATTTTTGAAAATTCCTTCCATGTCCCGAAAATGACTATTTTGCCCTTGGACATTTTCAAAAATTCCTTCCATGTCCCAAAAATGACTATTTTACCCTTGAACAATTTCAAAAATTCCATTTATGTCCCTATGATGTAAAATGACTATTTTGCCCTTGAACATTTTCAAAAATTACATTTATGTCCCTAGAATGTAAAATGACTATTTTTCTTTTAAAAAAATCTCCACCATATCCCTTTCTTCTTCCTTCGCTCAGTAACAGTGTCAAAATTTGCAGATTTTGGCATATTTCAAATTATTCAGTTTTAGACAACCAAACTAGTCCTAAATCGAAATTAAACATGAATTATATCTAATTTAAGTTGAAAACAACAATTTTACCATATAATTCATCCTTGATTTCAAGAATTTAATCAATATTTAAAACTTTGCAAAATATGAATAGTAATCACCTCCAAGTACGCCATTTTCAAAATCCAAGTTTCAAATTTCTCGGTTTCAATCACTCAAATTAGTTCCAAATCAAAATTAAACCATAAACATGTTCAATTTAAGTTAAAAACAATAATTTTATTATATAATTCATCCTTAATTTCAAGAATTTCAAAAACTTTCAAACGGTGAACATTTCATCAAAATCAGACATTCAAATAATTCATATCTCTACTCTTATTCCTTATTCATAGAGTACCCAACAATTCAATTTCATATTGAATGAATTAAACTTCCCTTACCTGGTATGGTATTTCTACCGAAGTTTTCCCACTTAATTCAAGCTTTCTCCCGTTTCACTGAGATCCTGCACGAGTAGAGTCTCGTTGCTTGGAATTTAGACAATAGAAGAAGAAAAATGAGGAACATGTGATATGGGAGAAAGAATTTTCTGCAGAAACCATTCATCCCCCTTCGAACATATAAAAGAAAAAATTTTACTGTGCATGAGGAAAACTTCGTTACGAAGTTTTCTTGCACAGTAAAAAGCATACGTGACAAATAAAACACATTGAATTTATCCAACCAAACGGTCCAAACCCTCGCCATAAATATAAAAATATTAGACATTTTCATTAAGATGAGCACGTATAAGGTTGTCAAAATTAAATCAACAACACATATTTTGTTGTAAATTATATATATATATATATATATATATATATATATATATATATTTATTTACATTTAAAATAATAAAGCTTGTGCCTATATATTAAAGAAGTAGATAATGTCGATGAGATTGACTCAAATATTTGAGAATTTTACTATATATATTATAGGAGTTGTTAAAAAATAAAAGACAGTTATGAAGTGTTTTATATATTTTTTTAAGTGTAGATTTTGTTGTGATATAAATAACCGACAAATAATATTCTGTTGTTTTATTTTTACATCAAAATGTTTCTCTTTAGTAATACTTTTGTGTGCTCTTTTCCTTTTTTATTTATGCAAATATTCTTCTTTTGCTTTGGCGACTTAAAAAATTAATGTGACACATCTCAACAAGTAGTGCTCAAGTTAATCTTTGACGTCTCCCATTATATTCTCTAAAATAATTTAAATATTTTTTTAGAATAGTTTTAATATAATTTACTGTTTTTCTTTTCAAAAATATATACTTTATTGGATAATGTGAAGTTGAAATAACAATGTTGTTAGATTCAAAGGAGCTAAGTTGATGGATTGATGGTCCTTTTGCAAAAACTTGCCCAACCACGTGGAGACAAGTCTTCGGTGCTATTTCAATTCTCTTTGGACAAATTAATAAAACACCCAAGTATTGTCATGTGACCTTCATTGTGATTGATTGACATGAGAATAAGATTACTAACACTATTAATAAAAATAATTTACTTTCAGTTTCGTCATGTACGTTTAAAATAAAAATAATTTTAAAAACTTACTTAATTAGGTTTGGTACAATTATCGTGTGAGTAACATATTCTAATCTATTTTTTGCATCAGAAATATGATAAAGATGAAAACGGGATGGAATAGGTGTGATTAGCAATAGCAATAGTTGTGGTAGTTGCACTAGCTTTTGTTGGTGGGTGTTTTAAGCATGGTGAAGTGCATAGTATCATATGGAGGAAGAATGGGGAAAGTAATGTCCGATTTTCTCAAAATGTTGACGTCATTCAGGACTTCACTAATTTAAACAGAGCAAAACTGAGTTGAGGGTGCAAAATGCAAAACTACTTTACACCAAAATATCAATTCTCATTAACAATAATTGATATTAAAAACAGCATAACAAAATATTAGAGATAATGTTTCAATGTCCTTTTCTGTTACACTTTTATTTTTATTTTTTTAAAATAGTTGTTGTTCAGTTTCCATTACTTAGTTATCTTTAAAAGTTAAGTTTTTTATATTTTTGAGTTGAGTTGATCAATATAATTCTAACAAAAATATTACGTATTTTATTTTATATTTATGAAGAATGCTAACATGGTATCAGAATAAAGAAGTACCCATCCACGGTTTCACACGTCTAGTTTTTTTATCAACCATAACGCAATCAAGTTAAAATACTTCACCACCAAATCATTTTATAAATATTTTATCAATATTTGTAGTTGTTAAAATAAGAAATTTCAATTATTTACTATTTTATGACATATTATAATGATTTTTTTAATATCTTTGAGTAAATAAAACACGTAAGTGAAGAAAAAAACAAAATACATATTATTTAGTTAAAGATAAATAAAAATAAAAAATATTTTGTTGAGATAATCTTATTTAAAATAAAATAAATAACATTTTATATTAAATCTTATTTATTATAAAAACAAGCAAAAAAGTAAATTTACAATAATCAATCATAATTATGGGAATGTTTTACTATTGAAAAGTTGGTTTTGCAAAATATATACATTTCTTTCTCCGCTCTTCTCCTTTTTCTATGCAGTGGGAAGAAAAACATTTTCTATGTTCACATTTTTTTTTATTTCTTTATATTTCTACTTCATCAAATTACTAATTTCCTCTCTTTTTTTTCTCTCTTTTTCTTTTTCACTATTTATCTTTTGTCAAACTTACAGTGACAGTAGGATCCACATATTCAAAAAATATCCCTGTTTCATAGACACCATTTAAAAAGGATTTTGGTACCTCTGCAAATTTCTTTGTTTTCCTCGCATATACAATATTTTGCTACATATTCATTTATTTATTGCTATTCAAACATTTTTCACAAAAAAATTGCTGCAAAGGCTCTATAGATATTTGTAAACGAGTAAAAAACAAATATAACATAATGTTCATGTGGTAATTCTTTTTTTTTTTACAATTTATGTAATATTTAGTGAATTAAAATTATTGAAATGAGATCATGGTGGAGAACATCTAGAACCACTTAATAGAAAACATAATGAAGATACAAATATTTAAAACAAAAAAGTATTTGTTTTTCAAATGACAAACAAAAATCTACAAAAACAAAAAGTCCAAGATAAATTTTTTTATATTTTTATGATCAAAATTGAATCAAATGATTACTCACAACTTCGTAATAATTAATTACTTTTTAACATTGTATTATAGAAATTTAAAATAAATAATTTCATGAGTAATTTTTTATAATAAATTTGATGTAAAAAAATATTGTATAGAAGTTATGCTTTGTTAGGTGGGAAAAATATTGACTTTAAATGCTAAGGTGTGATTTAGCACAGTAAATAAATTTGGATCCGAAAAATGAGGTGACACGTGACAGTGACATTGACCTGGCGACCAAGCTTTGCCTTGTCTTTGTCTGCCATGTTTAAGCCATGATCAATGCCCTCAACCTCCCACATGCATGTGTATATATAATATAACAAATAATATTCTTTCATCCAATATGAAAACGTTTCAATTAATAAAATTATTATTATGTTTTTTTACTTTTTTTAATAATAATAAATATAGATGAAAAACATTTTACAAAAGTTATTATTTGAACTCAACAGAATTCTCTTTTTTATTGATATATTTTACATTTAGATTTAAATCTATTTTTGTAATTAATAAATCATCCACTTTTCTCTTCTTTTTACTTGCTCTCTCTTTTTCTCTTATCTATTTTCTCTTTTTTCCATAAACCTTCTTAATCCCATGCACATTAGACATGGAGGTGATTGTATAGAATGTCAAGAAAGGCATTTTTTTTATTTGGATTTCTTTATCTCAACAGTTTTATGCAATGTTTGAATGAAATGAAAGAAAGCCAAGGAGTGATAATAATAATAATAATAATAATTAAACGATTAGAACAGAATTATAGATTGTTTGAATAAAAAAAAACAAGTTAAAGTTTTGCGTATATATCTATCTATCTATCTATATATATATATATATATATATATATATATATATATAATTAAAAAATAAAAATAAAAGTAAGATATTTTATACAATAAACATAATATACCCTTAAATTAGTTTTTTATAATTAGTGCATGAATTGATTTTGATTAGCCCATGATTGATTATGTCCCTTTAAATAAGTTGAAAACCATAATAAATTTAACCCACATAAATTGATTTGATTATGGTGAATGTATAATCGATCATCTAAGCAATTAATTTTATTATCTTTATTTTTCTGTAATATTCATAGACAGCAACTGAAAGCAGTACTCAACAGATTCATGAGACTTTTATTTCACATGCACCATAGGTAAATAATTGAGGGCAAAATATGAGAAATCACAGGAACAAAAATCGTGAGACCTACATCAATTTTCATTTACCTCAATACACATTATCGTCAATAAAATAATAAAATAATACCATTATTATATTATTGTGTTTTTTCTTTTATCTCCCTGGTCATAGAAATAATTAAAAAAATTTAATCCCCTGGAAAAGTGAAGAAAACAATAGAACAACACTCAATAAATTGTGATATTTTTGAATCAAAGAATAACTATTAAGACTCAAACCAAATTCATTTTATGCATAGACTCAATGGTCTCATTCCCGTACCAACCATCTTTGGTTTTGTGTTTGCGTTCGATGCTCCTCTAAATTTCTTAATTGTAAAGAAATTGATAATCACGTAAATTTATAATAAACACATGAATAATAATAATAATAATAATAATAATAATAATAATAATAAAATAAATAAAAATAAAAATAATAACAATGATAATTAATTTGAAAATATGATGTCATCTAAAGTGTTTATAATTGAATTTTAATCTTTATCCAACAATTTTTAATATTAATATATAGGATATTTTAAAAAAATATTGCATTTCTTATTTTGTAGATATAGTTGGAGTGTATTAGGTGTTTGAATTTTCTTTTATCAGAAAGGAACAATTTTAATATTAATTGGTTTGACTAAAATTTAAGACACATACCAAATTAATAGGATTTGTAATTTTAATCCGATGGAAACTAATCATTAGCACCAATAAAAATTTTTAATTTTAGTATGTTGATATGTTATTAGATAAAGTTGAATCCTCGACCATGCCATCAAAAATCTTAATTTAGAAGTTGATGGAATTGCCCAATCATCTTATACAGCACTCAATCATTTGTCTCAATTATGTACACCCAAGTCATTATAATTACAAAAAAGGCCAATTTTTCTTATAAGACTAAAGCTAACCGAGAGAGTCTCCAAGATCGTTCAACCTTTGAAAATTTATCAAACTTTGTACAACGCTTTCAGATTTTATATTTTAATAAACTCTAGTGTGTTACAGTTTCTTGGAGTCGATTATACTAATATTCTTTGAAATTTTTCGGAATCACACCAGCATCTTGTATTTAAAAAAAAATTATACTAAAACTTCCTATTTATACATTATCCCATTAAGTTTTATTATAAAAAACAGTGAAGTGCATTGTAGTCGATAAATTGATGAGAAACAGAAAGTCCATGAAATTGAAGAAACATATTGACGAGGACGTTTGAAAACACTAGGCCCGTGCCGTGTCCGTCATGTAGTTCTTCTGTTCATTAATCCTTTACTCATTCATCTTTGAATTCCAACTCCCATCAACTTCAAATCATGCCTCTTCTTTTACTTTTCTTCTTTATCTCTTTCACATTCTCATTCAAACTTTCCAAACTTTGTTAACTATTCATTCAAATATGTATATTATGAATATAAGGTTAACTTTATTCTCTATGTATGATTTTTCTATTTTTCTAAATTCCTAAGTCATTAATAGGTTGATGAAATATTGCAAGGCATAATATTCTTTAGGCAAGACTTAAAGTCCACTAAATGGAGAATTTGAATAAATAATTGTTGGTGTTCTTAACTATGGTTCAACATGAATTAGGTTACACAAATTTAAAAGTAAAAAATAAAAAATCCTAACATAATCATCTTTCAGTGTGTCTTATATTGTCATTAAAATATATTTTAAATCACGTCATGTCATGTTGAAATTATGTTTAAAATTTATTCTATGAGATTTTTTTATTACACTCCCTTTATCCCTTTATCTAGAGAAAGATTTTTAATGTTTCAACATAGTACTCTAATCCTATATTAAAAATTTCAGATATTTAATTTAATCTTATAAAACTTGTTGAGATAAAAATTATACTCACTAATATTATTCTATCTTTATTCAATACGGGATTTCATCAATAAATATTAGTATAATTTTTTTTAATTATACATAATTTACATTTTAAATAATTTGTTTTATCTGGGATATAAACATGAATTTGCAAATGATAACGAAATCTTTTAGTTTTATCAGATTAACGTTGCACTTGTCCAATAAAAAAAATAAAAATAATTCGAGTATGGAAGAACAAAATTTTTAATTTGCCGAAGTATGAATTCGAAACAAGTTCAAATAATTAATCCTATATAATCACTATAGTAATTTTGTCGTAAGAAAGATGGAAATGTTTTTTTTTTTATATATATATTTTTACATAGCAAATACATAAGCATAGGTTTTGACACAAATGATAATTGATATAAGGATATGAACTTAAACGATCTCAATTTCTAAATATAATTTATTCAAGTCAGATTAATCGTATTTGATACTCTATTTGTTTTATTATAGAGGAAATTATATAGTTCCAAAAGAATAAATAATAATACATATTAAATTGTATTGTAATTTATATTATATTTCATATTTCATAGTTTTTAATTTAAAATTCTTGTGTATGATTCATTCACTAACCTAAGTTTTTTATTTTTATTTTTTTACAATTTTAATGTTATCATTTTATTGTGAAAAAGTTGGTGGCGAGCTTAATAGAAATATGAATGGGAATAGCAAAGCCCAAAATTTGGTTGTCCAGGTTAAAACTGCAGGTCCATTTAAAGGCCCCACTTGAAATGAAAAATATAGCCCAAGGCCCAAAACCTACCCTCTCTTTTTCCTCCAAGAGCGAAAACCGAGAAGTGAGTGAGTCTGTGTTTGTGCTTTGAGCAGTTCATTGACAATGCAGGCGTTTCGACGAATAAAAAAAATGACCATCTCCACGGCAAAGCAATTCAATTCTCTTCCATCCGTTATCGCCGCAGATAATCATTTCGATCCCTCCGGCGGAGTCCCGGCGACGAGACGGTGGTTGTCGAGCCGCAAGTTCCGCAGCGGCGAGGAAGAGTGGAACGAGGCATGGGAAACAGCGTGGCTTCCGGATGACTTAACGCCGAAGACGCGAGCTCCGTGGGAGAGCGACGTCAACTTCCCTTCCTCCTCCTCCTCCTCCATCGCCACCGCCTCTGACGCCGTGGCCGAGGCCGACGAAGAGACGAAGGCGTTCGTGGCGGAGATGAACGAGAATTGGAACGAGCGGCGAAGAGGATCGAAGGAGAAAGGAAAAAGGGAAGAGAACGGCGCGCTTTACAGCGTGGAGAATATGAAGAAGGATTACCGGCTAAAAAAGCAGAGGATGCACGCTGGATTGTGGATGAAGGAAATAGAGAAGCTCGAGGAGGCAAAATTGGCCGATTCTGACGTTGCTGCTGGCGATGACATTCAGAGACTGCTTGATAGTTGCTCCGAGTATACCTCTCACTCTATCTTTTAAATTGGATTATGATTCTTTACATATTGCCTATTTGGGTTTGTGGTTGTTAACTTGTTATTGATTTAAGTTCCTGATACAGATATGTCGTGAAGCATTGTGTTATGTACCATCTTTTATAATCTAAAACCCTAAAACTAACTCCTAAACCCTAAACATTTTTATTTATTTATAAATTTAAACCAGATTTTCTCGTGAAGAGTGTACAATTTGGAACTATTTATTGACCTTGAGAATTTCTATTGAAGCATGTTATGTGGTGTGTTAAGAACCGGATTGGTCCTGTGTATTGTTTGTTCTGTTATTGTCTGCTGTGTTAAGGCTTGCGAACTCATGAATTAGTTTAACGAGGAATGTTAGCAACATACTACTCTCCAACATATTCTCTGTTATTGGTTAATTTTTTTTAAAACTCCAAAATCATTAGTGTGGACTCATTAAATAAAGAGTGAAACCTAAATATTTCCGTGATTTGCAACAAACCTTGGTTAACAGCAGAGTATGTTAGGAAATGTATTGTTAACATTTTTCTTAGTTTTATATATCCAAGGAATCGCTAATAACACATTCTAACAAATCTCTATTATTGGTTGAAATTTGTTGGAAATCGCTATAGTGTGTGTATTTTCAAGTAGTAGCGGTTTTTGTTCCTTAACCAAGTAGTCCAAGATTTGCATCCTGGTGATGTCACTTTAGATATGAATTAAACTATGTTGAAAGAGGAATATCCATCTTGTGTGCGCTCAAGGTCCTTGATGGTGTGTTCTTCATCATGCAATGCAAGAGCTTATTGCTTTTGAATTGTGGGTAATGCATGTATGTAGTCACCCTTCCTTGTGTTGTAACTCAATTTATAAGAAATGAAGTGGTAGGGTGATTGAAATTTTGACCAGTTGGTTGTCGAAATATCTAATAAGCCATTTCAATGACTCAATTACCTACTCTCTTTGTAGCATAAGCTTTATTATGAAAATTCTGGAATGGTTTTGTATCTATAATATGTACCTTTTCTTCGTAAATGCCAACAATATTGCATTGCTATTAAGACATGTGGACTAATGGTAGCAAATGACATCCTATAAAGAAGTATTGGTGTTTTATTTTTGCGGAATAAAAATACTCTCTTTGACTTCAGAATTCTCCTTTGTAGATCCTTAATAGGGCTATGGCTAGGTATTAACTGGTGACCATTTAATTTTGTCTTCATCAATTCTTATGCTATTTTTCTTACACTTTGTTTTGCGTACTAATGTAGATGTAGGCCCATTCTGTGTTTTTGTACACTACATTTGCTGGTCTCTTGTTTTTGTGCACATTGATGTCTCATAGAATCGTAGTTATAGCCATTTAATCTATAATTTTATCTACTAGTGTATTTTGTACTTAATTGTCCTTATCAACTGCAGCATTTTTGACCCCGTCAATAATGATCTCAACATTGCGCAAGTTCAAACTGCGGAGTTCAAAAATATGCCTGATGGATGGGAAACGATATCAAAAAATCAAGAAGGAAATATATGGGAGATGTCTCAGAGAGAAGAAGACATGCTTCTCCAGGAATTTGAACGACGTATTGCCTATAGCAAATTTCAGGTGTGTATAAAAACAATAGATTACCATGTTGCTTTTCTAATCCCAATACAAAGCATTGGTGTTGGTTATAGGAATTATGGAGTATAATATCGGATACCTCGTGTCCCTTCCTAATTTCGGTCTTTTAATCTTTCACAACTTGATAAAACTTACATGCAGATTGCTAGTTTTATCAAGACTCACATATTTAGTCGGCGGAGACCAATTGATGGATGGAAATATATGATAGAGGTGGTGGGACCGAATGCTAAGAGAGGGAAGGGTAGTGTTTCGAGAGTACCAAGTCTATCTGATCCCTCTACACAACCTTTCAAGGAGGAGAAAAATTCAGTTGACAAGACTTACCTTCCTCTTCAGAGAAGGTAGCTTGGGCATCTTGGTGCGGCGGTCGTTTGATTAAAAAGTTGGTGAATAAAGGACAGTTACTGCTACTTAGCCTTTATTGTCAACAGATGCTCTCCATGCAATCTCGGTTAAGTTCAATACCCTCCATGAATTATAAAAGCAAGTGACAATATGACCCAGGATAAATGTCATACTAGTTTGTTGTCTAAAAGCAAAAGGAGTTTTCTCTTTCGCCATTCTAAATGTTACCCCAAAATGTGCAAGGCATTATGATTATACTGGAGGATGTACACGAGGATATTAAATAGGGGTTCACCATTTTTTAAACAGGGGTTTGATATCTGTAGCCAAGTATTTATTTATTCGTTCTATTCGCATGAAGAAGGTTGCATCAAGGATTGTTAATGCATCAAACTAGAAACATGACCTACATTATATTTATTGAACTTGTACAACTAGTAAAGAATTGATGTTCTCTTTGCCTACCGAAGCTTTATAACCAGTCATGTGGGTTTGCATAAGTTGTCTCAGTCTTCGTTTTGGGAAAAACCAGGTTTATTGCGTGGTTTTATCTCCATCTCTTAACGTACGCATCACTTCCTTTTTAGGTATAGAAGATTGCAGGCCATTCAACATTTCAGTTAAAATTTCGGAAAGAATACTTTAATGGAGTACAACGTTTGACAAGTTTAAGCATAATGGCCGTTTGATCTGACTGAGTAGTTCAAATTTAGACAAATTTCAGAGGAAATGCCTAAGGTATATACTTCGAGATTTCTAACTTTAATTATTTGGTAAACAAATTATTAATTTTTATTATTAGGTAAAGATTATTATCCTCCGCTATGTTGCTGGATAACTCGGAAAATTTAAATGAGCTATTTCAAGTTACTTTATCTTGCCAGGGTTCTTGACAGAAAAAAGGTTGATATCTTGGTGGTGGTGTGTATAAGGTTTGGAGCCTATTCTAAATGCAGAGTTAGTGCCCCAACTCACTTTCCAAAATGAAAACGTAGATTTGTTGGAAACAACAACAGATGCTGCTGCTGGTATATAGGTGTGACAGTTGCAACAGGCAAATGCTAGACAACATAGAAGATTTTAAATTATACTCATGTTCACTGTTAGAATCTGACATAGCAGAAAGTTGCAAATAAATGTAATCAACGTGACTTTAACTGTCATTCATTTAAAATTTTAAATATTTATTATTTTTTAAGTAAAAATGTCAACTAATTAAGGATTTTTTAGGAAAAAATAAGTAATACGTCATTTAACTAAAAAGAATGTTATAAATGGAACAACGGATTTTCTCATGAGATTGGAGGAAGTATAACACTAACTCTAATATCGCCTCACTTCATCTCTACCTCTAATTCTTAGGTGTTTTGCATTTTTCTTTCCAAATGCATTTCCTTAAATTTTTGAGTTATTTTTTTCATTAAAATTTGTTTTTTACCTGGGAATACTATACTATACTTACATTTAATGTTCATATCTACTTCCTTGAAGTAGGAATAAACTTTTCAAACTTCGTTGGCTATAAGGCAGTGATTCCTCCTTACTTTGGTCATGACTAAGATGAAAAACAAGCGAAATTGTCATGATTTCTCTCATTCCTCGTCATTTTCTTCATTTCTTTTATCTTTCCTCCTTATGTCTTCAGAGTTTAGTTAACCATATGAAATATTTCAACCGGAGCAAGACGTATCTAAAGTCACTAAGTTCATAAGTCATACACTTAAATCCCTATTAAAGTGTTGTGATGGTGATACTACAGACGAGTTTAAGGGTTAAAACAGTTAATTAATATATATAATCATCGTCAAACATCATATAATTTCCACTCCTCTGTGCTCTACCTCCTCTGTCAGCCTGCATATATCAACAATCTATTAGTATTTTTTACGATTAAAACAAGCGCAGTTGCATAAATTTTCATGTTTACATCGCATTATAAAATAAGGATACTTCCTATAAATTCAGTGCTCAACGATATTGGCAAAAGTAACTATAATTTACATCTAAGATCTTCCATTAAGATTCTTGGTTTTGTATTTCGTATATATATATACACACACACAAACGGATCGGGCATAGAGTTTTTCTCAAGCAATTCACAACCAAATTAGTTATAAATGTAATTTTAGAGTACTTTTTGTCAAATCAGTTAGGTTAACTTGGAAATTATTGGTCACCAGAGTATTCGGACAATGAGTACCTTGGTTATGAGTCTTTCAAATGCTTCTGTTCCATGCTCTTCCATGTATCTCTCAGCAGCAGTGAGGACATCATCCTGCTTACTAAATATGTTCTTTGGAGGAACATACCACATTTGAGAAGTTCCTGGGAATTTTGGCATTTGTGGCATTTGTGGATTCATATAGAATGGTCTAACATAGTGCCTATAAACATGTGCTGCCCCATTGAACTGTGGAAGAACCAGCCAGCAACTAAGTATCAACTTGGCATAAGGCCAAATGGCAAGCCTGAAATTAGGAACACAGTTACATTGGAAAGGTGAAGTGGAACTGGGATTTAACTTCTTAAAACTTTTCTTGCCAAGCAAAGAACCTTATGAAGAAGATTATTTTATTATGTTGATGCATTTAACTCAATGAATAAACTCAAACTTAACATTATGTTTGATTACTTAACAAGGAAAACTAAAACATCATAGACTTGTTATGGATAATTTATGCATGTCTGCATTGCTAAAACATATGTAATTTTGTTTATAAATTTACTTGTAATTTTATTCATAACTATCTTATATCTGAAATTTCTACCATATTTTATTCAAAGTAGTTGATAAGTTAGTTAAAATTCGAAAATGTTATTAAATAGATTTATTCAATTCGAAATGTTAGGTCAGTAGATATGCTAAATTGTTTGATAAATGTAAATAACATATAAAGGACATGTATACATATTTTTTATATAGTAGATGAAAAACATTTTTTTTTCAGAAACCAAAAGTAAAATTGAAGTGCATGATATGTATATATATATATATATATATATATATATATATATATATATATATTTATTTTTTTTTCATTATTTCGTTTTAAAAAAAATCTGTGCTTTTCAGCGAGAGTTTTTCATGAAAATCTATTAAAAAAAAATGCTAAAAAGAGAAAGAAACAACTGATGAGACATTTTTCCATCTTGTTTGCCCCACCTTCAAGTTCACACACTATTCTGTGCTTAACACCACCCTTTACCTTCTACCAGTTATTTGAACATCATATTTAGATGTATTTTGAAATCTAAAAACAGAAGATGGAAAAATCAAACACACCATTAATTTTACCCTACCCTTTCATACCCTTATTAAGGTTCAAACAATGTACCACAAAGAAACTGCATACTCAATATCTACATGATACCACCAATATATATCATCCAAAAAATGTTAACTTACACTTCTAGAACTTTGGCAAATGTGAGTTCGAACAGAGTAATCAAAGAATAGAGAACCCAATAAGTCAGCCATTGCTGATCATCAACACTGGACCTACTCTCTATGGCCTTTATTGAAGCATATCTGCCACAAACACCAAAATATACACTCACAACCCAAAACCTCACACACTATATTCCAAAATACACATTCAAAAACAAAAGTCATACTTACAAAGGGTACACCAGGGTGACCAAGGGCCTGAACAAAAAGTAAGAAGACAACTCTCAGATCAAAATGTAACATACACAAAAGGGTTTATATTTTTTAATGTGAATCTACATCATATAATGACATTCAAGCTTAGAGATGTAATAGAAAAGAAGCATACAGAGCAAGAACATCGAAGTTCTTGAACACTACTTGGAGAAAATTGTTGCCAGAAGTACCCATTTGATGCAATGCTGTTCTGGATCCTTTCGTGGAGTGAAACTCAGAAAGAGGGTTAGTAAAGAGAGACAAGGGAAAACAGAGGCTTGAAAAGTGGGACACTGGAAACTAGAAAGTAACGAAAGAAAATGAAAGCACTGTGACAAAACGACTCCTTAACAAAAAAACTTATGTTTTTTTTATTAATTATTTTTACGAATGGATAAAATATATAACTTCTGAAGGAATTTTTATATTTTGATCTAATTATAATTTTTAAATTTATCTTGAAAATTTATATTGAAGATAATTTTTAATTGAGTTAATTATTAAAAAATATTATATTATATTTTTATATTGCAAACTCTAAAAAAATAAAAAAAAATTATGTACAGTCTAAAATAATTACAAAAATACCAATGTATTTATTTTTATTGTTTATATGTTCTAAATTGCAAGTATTTGGGGTCTTTATTAAATTTAATTTTTCCAAAAAAATCATATTTTTAATAAAATTTATTTCCCTCTGATCCACTTTTTATAAATATAATTGATGTTTATTTATTGTGAACCCTTCGTTACGTGGACACGGTTACGCGGTCATACAATACGATTATCACTGCCAGCTGTCATCACAATCTCAATTAAATAAATATTTAGCGCGTTTCAAAATAATAATGGAAAGATCTATTTATTTAGATTGGGTCCAATCAAAAGATATTATAGAGTATTTTGCTAAAATCAGTAGCCCAAATAAACACAAATCATGGTTCAGTAATCTTGGGCTACCTATTGTTTTGGGCTTATTAAATACTGGGTTAAATTGGTCTTGGGCCTCTTAATGGGTTAATTAAAGGACAAACACACAGTGTTTTGTTTTACAATTCCAGTTTTCAGATTATAGGTGATGTCATGCAGATGAATTAATTTAGAATTAATTATAGTTGTATTGTATGACTCACACAATCATACCCTTCAATAATTAAAGAGAGAAAAAATAAAAAATAACTAATACTACATTAATTGATTATATTAATACTATAAAAAGCATGACAAATTCTGTGAGGGAATTTTGGTGCATAAAGCTATGATTGTTTGATACAAAGTTTTGAATTGATGATCAACCACCTAATTTAATAATTTCACGTTTCTTCTAATTATGCATTACAACCAATTAAGTTTCAACAACCTTGGTGAAATACACAGTTAGCCAGGTTGTACGTTCAGGTTACCTTTTTCAAATCTTCCTCTTCACATTCCTTTTACCACCAACAACGATTTGACAACTAATTAATTAAACCTACGTTAATTCTTCAATGTTTTCGACCTATGCATGCTATACCAACCATGTTCCAACTTCACAAAAATTTAAGATAACGACGACAACAATGAAATAAAAATCATTTGATGTGTTTTAATTTTTAAAATTATACTATCCTTGAATCAAAGTGATGCTTAAGTAATGTTTTCCGAAAATGGAGATTCAGAGATTGGAAAGTGTGAAATAAAATCATGGCTTCGGATATTACCAAGCATTCTTAGATTATATAAGATCCTGATTTGACTAAACATGTATGATTTTAAAAGTAGACATGACGTAAATCCAAATGGATACATGCGTGATTAATTATTGAGTAATTAATTTCCAACTAATTATTATCTTCAATTCATCATTACTTGCTAGTTGGCAGCAACTCCTCCCAAAATATTCAATTGTGAAGATCACGACTCAATTTATACATACAAAAGGCTTGATGGCTTAATTGTTGCACTAGAAGTGTAAGAGAGAATTTGTGATGGTGTAATGACACGAGGTTCCCCAGTTTTTGAGTTCAACGACTACTAATTATTAGGTTTATGGTTAATTTGATGAGTTTTCTTATATAAAGAAAGGTATTAGTAATAGTTATTGACCATCTCATATGGCTTAAAACACAAAATTTTTACCATCTTTAGACTAAAGATAAAACATAAATTTAGGAGTAGATGAAGAGGGGTGGTTGGGAGTATCTTAGAAATTATGGGTGAGGGCCCAGGTTCTGAAAAATGTAACCGTTTAATTGGGTGATCCTTAATGAGTTTGTGTTTGTATTTAAGTTGGTTTTCAGATTCACAGTAACTGCATTGATGAAAAGGATGGGTATGTACTGGTGGATAAAGAAAGAACTGCACTAACCAGAATTCAGAAATGTACACACACTTAGTTCCTTACACACGACAAAAATGCCCTCAATAAGGATACCATTTTCCAAACCTTTTTCTTAATTCACGCTACAACCTGTCAACAATTCGACTTCATTATCTTTAAAGAATCTCTATTGCATACATTAATAAAGATTAAGGATTTTCTTTTATCCCGTTTTATTTTTTTAATCTAAAAAAAACATTTTTATAATAATTTGATTTTTTTTCATAACTCTAATTTAAAAACCGTTTTAGAAAAAAAACATTACATCATACACAATTATAATAAAAAATTAGAAAACAATTTCAAGATAATAAATAGAAACACTGGTATAATAAGTTTGTGTGTTCATTTTTTTCTACATTATTAGAAAAAGTTACTAAAATATTTAAAAAATAAATAGCTTGTCATTAGAAACAATTATAAAACCGGTTACCGATACATTAAAAATAAAATAAAAAATTATATAATACTAAGATTTAAACGAGAAAGAGTTATGGTATTCTGAAAAGCGCGATTATATAATCCAATCCTTTTTGTTAACTGTATGGATAAAGTTGAACATATAATTACTCTATTAGTGAAAATGTAAATATTATTAATAATAAAAAAAGTAAATATATTTTATTTGTTTTTTTTAAATTTTTGAAAAATAGAAAAAAATTAAAACATGTTTTCTTTATAATTTAAAAAAAAAAAAAAACAACGACAAACAGGCCTATTTAATCATATACACTTACTTTCCCATAAAAAGAATTTCGTTTTATTTTTCTCAAGAATTTAATTTTCCTACTACAAGTAAACCGTTCATTCAGAATATCTTAAATTAATTCAGTATTGATTGATTCGGTTTAGGTTACAAATTCAATGAATGGGAATGCTTTCCTCTTCAAAGTTCATATAAACTATAAAAAATTATGTCATGTTGACTTAACTAATATTCTTTTTCACAAGATGATGTTATTAAATATTTATGAAATTAATTTAACTCACGCATTTCTACTAGGTTTAATGCACAAAAAATACATAATTATGTAATAATTGTTCATATATTTTAGGATCCAATTGTGGGAGCTAAGATTCATTCAATCTAAATAAACACGATTGGTATAAGCCCACATGTTTTTGGACAAGATGACTAAGGTAAAAAACACACATACTATTACAACATTCGACATATATGAAATGTGAAAATTTCTAGGGTTAGCTTGGAAAGTGGAATTAACCAGAAGGATACTCTTTCACAAATAAATAAACAAGGTCAAACTTTAGAACTTTTACCTTTCTATTTCTTTCTTTACTCTTTGTTTTTTACGTAACTTTATCTTTTTGGTTGTCCCTCATCGTTTATTTGACAAAGTACCTCAGCCTGTTCTGCTACCTACCCTAGTACTGCGCCATGCACTGCTTACAAATGCATGGACGACGTTAACATAGATCACTCTCCATGATAATGTATTGCACAAAGCTCCTCTATTATCTTATCATTTTTGTCGCAGTTATATATCATTTACTCTTATCTCACCTAGAAGATGAATATTAACAAATATTCACTTATTGCGTCATCTCTTTCCTCATCAAAAATTTGATGAGAAAAAAAATGATATCCCATTTTACATGTCCATATGGACTTACAATTGTAATAGCAACCTAGATCATAGATTTGTAACAAAAATCTAGCACGACACTTTTGTTATGACACTGTGTTTGATAGAGTTATTGGAAAAATTATAATACATTGATATACGACACCCTTTGTGCTTTTATTTTTATCCATTTTTTCTCCCTTTCAACACCCTAGTCATTTTCAACATAAACAAATACCTTATACTATACTCTGAATAATTATGACCGTATATCTCTCAATAATGTGTTTATCTTTTCCTATACTTTTAACACTACTAATGATTAATTTTGAACGTTTATTATTGACTTTAATGTTTTAGAAGGTCGAATGAAGTTTTAAATACCTTAATTATTAAGGTCATGAAATTTCTAATTGATGTATTTTACTCATGCATGTATTTTACTCAAGTATCTCATCCCATTCAAGGATTCTACTTTTAATTTTCTACATCGATGTAAGTTGATTACGGATAAGCATTTCGCTCAAGATTTTTGTTTTTAGTTTTTAGTTTTCCTTGTCTATCTAATTAAATGCTGACAATGAAGAAATGGTAACATGTAAAGAAGAAGAAATTAACAATTAATCAATTTTTTTTCAGTTATCAACATTAAACCAAAGGGTAGCCACAAAATATTTTAACCTTTTATTTATATGTCAACAATGTGGTTTTCATTCATACAAAGGGAATCAAATTAGGTTGTTTAATGATAGAAGTAAGTGAGTCAATGAATCCAACACGAAACTTTTTGTGCTTAAAATGTTACAAAGGTAACAAAACTGTATGCAAATTAAAAAAAAAAAAAAAACTTTGTTTAAGATTTTGTATACTTACTTGATGGGGAAAATAAAATGGAAGAGAGGATGTCTTCGGAACGAGATGTTTTCTCATATTATTATCTAAAAACGGAAAGTGCTGTAAATTTTTTGATGTGAAAATGATTAATTACTAGCAAAGTAGAGATGAGATGTACGAAGGCTAAACATTGCACTTCTGAATAAGAAAATAGTAATGAGGACAAACCAATTTGAGTGACTGTAATTTAATTTGATTGTTTTGGGAAAACTAACATTTTTCTAAAATAATCATAAAATTTGAAAAAAGAAAAACTACTGAAAATATACACACACACACACACACACTTTGAGAAACCTAATTTGGTCCAGGCAGTTTAGTTTAAAAAAAATGAAAAGAACAGTTGGGAATAATATAGAGGCAAAAGGGTGGAAATGGGTTGATATGTGAGTGGAATATTAGATGTAATTCCTGAAATGTACTGCATATAATAAACTGAGACAATGATGCCAAGTAGAATCCATTTTATAGTGGAAAGAGAAAGAATGAAGGTGTTGGTGAGGCAGTGGGTGTATGTTAATTTTAGGCAATGGCCAACCTTGGGGGCTCACTGGTCACCACCTGAGTTTAAAAGATAGCTACATCAAAAGCCTGGAGGAACTGCTTAGGATTCAGGAGTGGCCTCTTTCATCCAAAGCATCTATTATATAGATATTGGTCCCTAGCTAGCTATGTATGTAGTGTAGTACACACACATAATTCACAACTGCAGCAATAAGGGATGCATCATGCATGTGACAGTGTTTGCAGTACTCACCAGAAGGGCAGCATCTTCAACTCAATGCAGTAAAAGATCAAATTCGTACCTCATTCATTTTCTCCACAGCAATAATGGGTACTTATAATAATTGCTTTGTTAAACCTACCAGCATCCTCTAAACAACTCTAATTTATTAATCACCCAATATAGCATCTTTCTCTATAAAATTATAAAATTATAAAATCATAAAATCAATCAATTACTCCCTCCCTCCCTCCCTCACAAATCATGCCCAATGATAGTGCAGTACCAAGCAACAACTCCCAGATCACAAAACTACCATCTCATCATCATTATTGAGGAACTAAGCAATCTAAACACCACCATAGCACTTATATAGAAAGTATAATGGAACTGAAATATACGTATATTAATTTCTTCTCCAACCCTAATATCATCAACCTCAGCAAAATCACACCAAAGGTCCAAAATCGCATACTCAACTCAATATATCAAAACAATCAAACTCGCGCTTCTTGCTTGTTTTGCAAATGAACATAACATATATAGTTACGTATTTAATATATAATTTGGAAACCACTGATTAGTGACGCTGCTAGTAGTAATAGTAGCACTAGTAATAATATGGTGATTAAGAGAAAAATTAAGAAGCTAGCATCAGATCATACACTTGTGATTATTTCACCCTCGGGAATGTTGACTGGTTGAGTCACGTCCGTCATCTCCGGTGTTAGGTTGTCCGGCGCTTCCCGGGGACTCGGAGACGCCGTTCGCCGGAATCTGTCTGTAGGCATTAAGTGCCGCAAGCATGCCTAAGTTACTTTCACTTAGAAATTGAGCGCCACCGCTACCGCCACCGCCGCCACCACCAACCATGCCTGAACCTAGCTGACCGCCGGGCATAAGGGGCATGGGAGAAGCAAAATTCATGAAATGAATGCCACCTGGGGCAGACATAGCTCCTCTATATACCCCACTGTTCCCAACAGAGGGAATTGCCCAAATGGGATTATCGTTACCATTGGCCGCGCCGCCGCCACCACCACTACCACTCATGGATTGGTTACCGTGACCCGCCACCATCCAAAACGCGGCCGTATTGGAAGCGTGGCTCGCCGGAAGCGACCCTGTGCTCGATTGTATCAAATAGCTTCCCATTTGTGATAGTTCTTGTTCTGGCCTTCTCTTTCTCCCCAGGCTTCCATCAGAATCCGAAGCCATCGATTCAAGACCGCTTCCGCCGCCACCGGATTCTTCTCGAAGCTCTTGTTTCGCTTGTTGAATTACATTAACGTTACCCATAGGGTTGAAATTCAAAATTGCGGAGATGGAAGAAGTGTTCTCCAACATGCTCCTACGAGAATCCTCCATCAGCATGCTCATGTTCCGGTCCCACTCGGTACGGTTTCTTAGCTGCGCCGCTGCCGCAGCGGCGGCAGCTGAGGTGGAGAACGTGCTAGGGTTGAAGTAGTTTCCGCGAAAGTAGTGGGACGGCGCCGACATGGTGGAGCCGGAACTGCGGAGGGAGATGTTGAGGGAGGTGAAGTTGGCAGGAATGGTGCCGGTACCGGTGGCAGCGATGACCGCCGGCTCCGCCTGCTGAAGGAGCCACTCGATGGTCTCACCGTCAGACTTGTGTCCGAGTTCACGCGTGAGCTGGAAGACTCTGGCAGCGCAGGCTGCGGGCATGCGGATCCGACGGCCTCGGCCATCGACCTTGGTGTGGCGGTCCTTGGTGGAAGTCCGCTTTGGAGGAGGCTTTTTGGGCTGCTCCGCCAAGTGGAGGTTGTTATTAGTAGCAGAAGTAGTAGTAACAGTAGTTGCAGTTACGACGCTGTCCCTCGTAGTGGTGGAACAAGGTTGTTCTGTGACGTCATCAACGTCCTTTTTCTCTAACAGCTGCAGGGGGAAATTGGGTCTGCTTCGGATCCCATTTTGATGATCAGCCTCCAATTCCATGATCTTGTTATCTCATATAACCAAGCTCTCTATAAGCACTTTTTTTAAAGAAAAAAAATAAATGAATTGGTGGGGTTTATTTAAAAAAAACACACACACACACACACTTTCTTTCTCTTTCCTTCTCCTATCTGGTAGCTAGCAGCTATAGTGGAAGTAGTAGTACTGCCACTAGATTTGTTTTGAATATATATTTTTTTCCATGTGTGTGTAGCTAGGAGGTGAGGTGACCCTCAAATTGTATCACTTAGTGGCCTAGTGGGTCTCTCTTTTCTCTGTTTGTGTGTTTTGTGGAGCATGGAATTCCTTTCAGATGGGAGCTTGGAGCTGAGTTGTTCTGTGTGTGTGTATGTGTGGAGAGAGAGAGAGAGAGAGAGAGAAAGAAAATGAATGAATGATAGAGGATAAGGGAGAGGATGGCAAGCTTTAAGCAACAAAAATAATGAGTGGGAATAATAAGGGCTCAGTAAAATTTAAAAAAGCACAGGGTTCCTCTTTCTTTTTGTTTTTTTATGAATGGAATCATTTTTTTTCCTTAGTCTTCTCTCGTTTTATGACTCTTGTTATTTTCAACCGTCTTTAAATGAATGTCTCTATTTTGAATTTTTTTACTTTTCTCAATTAGAGGGTGCAACTTGCTAGCTGTACAATAAATCTTAAATGGAAATCAATCACACTCCTCTATAACAACTTTTCATAATTCCCCTGTCGTTTTTTTTAAGGAAACGTGTAAATCGTTATTTCTCATATTATGCTTATTTTTTTATACATTACACTCATATATAAAAATCAATGAAATTTATTCATCTTAAAAAATAGTATGTAGAAAAATTGTTAAAATTTACATGAAAATGATTGATTGGTACCAAGTGTCAAAATTTTACAAAACATCACTTTTAATGTTTTTATGAATACTTTTAGTTTATATTGGTTTTGTATAACAAGTTGAAATACCCTTAAATATATTATATTTTTCCTGTAAAAAAAATTCACAAAGAGTAAAATATAACATTATCTTGGCGATTGTATTTTATGAAATTTTTATTTACTAAAATAATTTTGTCATAAACATTTATTTATATTTCAAACAACACGCGACACACTGAAGCAAATAGATGCGATAAATTTATATGAAGTTGAATGTAATGTTATAAACTTAAATAAATCACTTGATTATAATTTTATATGTCATGGTTAGATATAAAGCTTGCAACTGTTGAGTGATCCTAGCAATCTAAAATGCATGAAGAATCAAATAAACAGGAAGAATATTGATTGAGTAGGAAATACATGAACTTTGAGAAGGTTTGGTTTGGGAATAAAGGGTTTGTTTGTGTTATATTTAATTGGGATTGAATTTTGAAGTGGAGGAAATGAAAATAGGAGTAAAATACAGGGTGTCATTTGATTGTGGTTGGACAGTGGACAGTCTCATGATTCAGACTCCACGTGCGGTGCTCTTTATCATTCAATCCATAAAGACTGTGGTGGCCGGAATGGGACCCAAACTCCTAAGTCAAAAATAAAACTAAGCCAAATAAAAAGATAATCAAGTGGATCCCATCTCATTCAACTCATCATTGCTCTTTTCTTCTTCCTCCTTTGCCCCTCATTCCCCATTTTCCTTACCCTATTCTAGGGTTAACAACAGCACCACCATTTCACCATGCTTTGTTTTGCTTTTCTCACTTTTCCCACGCCTTTTTTTTCACCTATGATTCAAGCAAATATCATGCTTTAACTCAATCAAAAGAAATCTAACTTACGTCATCTTCTTAATCTTAGTACTTCTCCCCATCATTGTACTTAACACTCTCCTTTTTATTTAACAACGAGACATGTTATAACTTATATTATAGGAATACGTAGACTAGGTTCTCATAATAACATCATTTTCATTCTCGTATAATTTTCTTCGTTATGCCACTTGCTATTTTATGAACGTGGTTTTTACCGAGCATTAGAACCAATTGGGTTAACTCAAGAAGATTATTAGGTAATCTGGGATTTAAGTTCTTCAATCAAAGCTTACTGTTTTTCTTTTTACTGGCACCAGTTGATAAATAAATGAATGAAAATGCTAAGATACATCATACATGGATTGACAACACCGATTTTAATGGTTGTTAATTAATTGGTTAATTTTGATTAATTAACAATCGAGTATGTTATTGGTTATTTGTAACAATTGTGAAGCTAATTGTTCAACGTATGTGTGGTCCTTCTGAATTTTGATTTATAAACCTCAAAACTATAAGATCTGCCTTTTACAGAAAAGTCATAAAGGTTCACGTCACAAAGAATTGTTATGTCGTTGCTCGTCAACAACACTGTGGTTAGTAATAAAAAAATAATAAAATTGGGTAGAAAATCATTTCTCCCCCACTACTTGCCTAGCTTGCTACAAAATCTGCAACTTGACCTAGAAAAAATATAATAATTTAATAATAACAAAAACTTAAACATTGATGAGAGAGAAGATAGAAGCAAGGCACGTGTCACCCCATGTGGGCAAAAGGGCCAAGTTAACTTTAAAGGGAACAAACAATGGAAATAATAAGACCCCGCAATGCAATGGCATAGTACAATTACATTTCAACAACCAACATACCTAACAAAATGATGAAACAATATCCAACACCGCAATTATATTACATTGTACTATGTGGTTTAGAAAAAGATTAATTAATTAAGATGTAACCTTGTTTGCACATGTCACTAAGAGCAGTTTCTGTGTTCGATAACGATAATTCCCCCAACTGATTTGTGTCTCAAATTTCCAATTATGTTTGTTTGATCTGTACCACAATTAACTTGCTCGGTTCTAAATGACACTTAGTCATGTCATTCCTCTAGAATTGGAGATGCACTTTTTTACCCACCATGGCCATGCCAACGATTCTTTGATGCCTTCGAGTCATTCAGATGTAACCAAAGGTACACTTTGATTTCTAAGAAAAGAATCAATAGTATTTGTGGCCTGTCTCATGCACTGTCACTATAGCTAACGACACAACCACGTTCTGCTCAGAAACCTAATGGGTCTGATCATTATTTTCCCAACCATCTTCATACACCTGAATCACATACACACAAGAGTAATCACATTTAATTAGCTCATAAATAATTCCTTCAAATTTCTTCTCATAGGCATGTGCGCACGCACATCCAACTATAAGCCCAAGGCTGAAAGTTTTTTTTTTTTTCATTCAACACCCTTTTTACATAGAAGTGGAGAGAACAAATAATTTCCTAGTTCCTTTATTTTTCATTTTTTTCTTTGTGAGTTAGGAGTTTAGAACTAGAGTGAAGAGTGAAGAGTGAATGTACAGCAAAATATAGAGTCGTGATGATGGGGCAAAGGACTGGTACTAGTTGATGATCACAAATGAGAGTTTCATTTTTTTGGCAAAGTTGATGGATCACGTGCTTGACCTATTTATGCCGGTGATGAGGATGGCTTACCATCCATATCAGCTCAATCATGCACAACAATTTTGTCGGAATATTGGTGGTTATCGGGCTATAAATAAATCTTTTTTTCCTCCCATTTTTGGTCAAGCTGGTCACTCGTTTTCAAACCTCCAAATCCATCTCCCATTCTTCTAATCTTTATTATTATTATTCTATCGTAATTCTCAATCTTCTGCATATACATTCAACATTATTCCTCTAAACGCCTCGCCTTTATCACTGTTATATAACAATCTTTGGATAATATTATTATATATAATAAAACAAATTAGACTTATGGTGCTCCATACGCCACTCCTAATATTCACCCGAAAACGATACTGCACTTCTAATTCTTAATCTCCTTCAAATGGGACCGCAACAATAAGAACCTTTTCTCAAAAAAGATAAAGCAACACACTCTTATTGTAAAAGAATTTATCTACAAATTTGACCACCTTCTGAATTTATGTTTCTAAAATGGATTAAATTATTAGATGAACTAAAAAGGATTGAATGGTAATTATCAGATGATTGGAAGAAAGAAGAGGATGCATTGGATTGGAAGGAAGAAGAATGACAGGTCTTGGTGAATAAAAGCGAAAGAAGGAATGACAGGTGGCGTGACTATCTTAAATTGCAAGGGCAAGATAGACTTTTCAAGAAAACATAAAGAACCACCAAAAAATAAAATAATTTAAAAAAAAAAGATAAAGAATGACAGGTAGAGTTACAAGTTGTGTGATTAGATTAGATTATTATGATTTATGAGTGGCGTTTACAAAAATATATTATAACTTAATTTTGTGGAAATGCAAGGGGAAGAAAAAGAAAAAATTTGAAAAAGAAAAGAAAAGGTTAGAATTGAATTGAAGGGTGTTTAGGTGCCGTACCCTGCACTAAAAGTAATGCATGTAGGTAGAGTACAAGAGAAGTGGGGCCATGCATACGCACCCACACACTTCTTCCTTCTAATGAGTAATATAGTAACTAATTACTTAAATATTCATTTATTTTATGATAATTAAGTTTTATGAAAGGATATTTATTAATTATTTTATTGACATTTTTTTTAAATTAAAACAGGGGTTGGTGAAAGTAAAAATGTGTCTTTGTAACCGCAAACAAGGTAGGAGTTGCAGAGAACCGTCCTGCTTCAATCTCATGGGTCAAGACAATAAGATTCCCTTCAACACTAAAGTCAAATACTTACTCATCACACTACTTACCATATTTTTCACCTTTTTTTTTATATATATATTTTTCATAAATTCAATTCAGGCTTATTATTTCATCAAAATTTCAATTATTTTGTAATTTTAATTAATTTTTTTATCAAATTGTAACAAAAAAATTATCAAATTTAGTTTGTGAAAATAAATAATAAATGTACACATTAAATAAAAATTCTGCACCTCCTCTTTCCACTTGTATCATTGAAAAAAAAATCTGCTGTTATACTGCATCCATGTACACATTCAAGAATCAAAATTCCGTCGATGAAAATATAAGAGAAGACAAAAAAGTTTTTAAATTTTCATAAAAAA